AAAAAAAAAAAAAAAAGGGGGGGGGGGGGGGAAAGCCAAGTGTGTCTTGTGATTTGCTGTGTGCCCCCAACGCAGCCGATGTGGGGGCACTGTGAGGATGGGCCGGGTGGGCCAGTGGTGCCCCAAATCTCGTGTCCCCGGCACGGGTCCTCTGGCAGGGTGGGGGAGGGCAGGAGGTGACATCAACCTGCTGTGCCAGGGCTTTCACAGGCTCAGGAGAGCGCTGGGTCAGGGCTGGTGCTTGGAGCAGCCCCAAAACCTGCATCACCTCGAGCCCCTCCATGGCTTTCCCAAGGCTTTGTCTGGCAGTGGCACAGGAGTCCCCAAAAGCAGTGGCTGTCCCCCTTGTCCCCCCTCACCCCCAGCAATGCATGTGAACCCCCCATCCTGCTGCACCCCAAAACCTTGGGGTGGGGGTCCACAACCTCAGCCACCCCCCGGGTGTGAGACAGACGCACAGCAAAGGAGACCCCAGAGCCAAGGACGCTGACAGAGCTTGGTTATTTTTCTCTTGCTGCTTTTTGTTGTTGTATCCACGGAAATACAATCACGAGAGATATATATATTATATATATACTTCTTAAATTACACAATCAATGTACAAAAACCGGGGTGCATTGCTGAGACAGGTGGTTGGTCGGGTCTTTTCTGACTTTGTGGTTTTTTTTCCGGTACCTGGCAGGGGCCGGGATGGCTCCCACCCACTGTGCCCAGCACACGGTGCTTCCCCTGCTTCCACAAGAACACCGGATCCCTGGGGCCAAAAAATTCACAAACCAACGGAGGGGGCAGGATAGGAGCAGGAGGAGCGTGCGGGAAGCCGATGGCATTGGTGCTGCTAAGGGTAATGGTATGGAAAGGAATGAGAGATGATCTGTAGGGAAGAGCTCGGGATGGCAAATGTACCCGAGGCAGGGGGTGGGGGTGGCCGTGCTGGGTGGCAGCAGCCACAGGAGCTGCAGGACCAGGGGCAGAGCCCGGGGGAGGAAGGGGAGAACTCTGTGGGGACAAGCAAAGGGCAAAGCCTGCGGCCATTCCTCTGCTTTGATGTGTCTTGTTTTCAGCCATCTTTGCCAGGCAGCTGCTCTGCCTGGGCTGGGTATCCTGAGCCCTCCTGCTCTGGCTGCAGCTCCTGCCGGCAGCCTGCAAGGCCAGGTGATGTTCATCCCCCGTCCCTGCTCTGCTCCTGCCTCTCTTCAGGAAAGGGTGGATGGGGACCATCCCCAGCAGTGCCCAAGGCAGTCCTCGCTATCCCAGGCTGGGCGTGAAGGTGCTTCCACAGCGCTGGGCCCTGGCAGGTCCTTCTCTGGAGGATTTTAGGGCCATCTCACCTGGATCTGGTGTGCGTTGGATACCTGCCCACCCGAAGGGCGATGCTGCTCCCTGCAGCACAGACTGGGCATCGGCTCGGGAGCCTCCGCCTGCTCCAGGTGTGCTGACAGCCCAGCCGGGAGGAGGAGGAAGCTGAAGTGATGCCAGCAAGCTCCACGGTGGGGCTGGTCCCACCTCACCTGGGCATCTCAAGGATGGCCACGGGGCTGAAGGGGGCATTCACCCCCTTCCTCGGGGCGGGAGGAATAGCTGGGGAGAACATGGAAACACCCAAAAAAAAACCCAACGGAGTCAGACTCCAATCCCTCTCGGTTTTCTGGGATGAATTTGGTTGGTCCCAGGAACTTCGGCGCCGTGCGTTTCAGAACAGTTCCAGCCAATCAGAAGGCGGCTCATGATTTCAGTATCTTTAAAAACCAACCAATCAGGAGGTCTCACTGGTTGGGCTTTAAGATCTTGAGGTATCAGCTTTTCGCTCAGAAAAAAAAATAAATTCAACTAACGTAGACGAACGGACAACGTCATCTTTCGCTTCACGTTATCTTAGAAGAAAGCGACTATGCAAAATACTCTTCGGAGACAACTCTTAAAAAAATAAAAGCTTGGTCGGAAAATATGTCTGAATCTCTAAGGGTGAGGGGTGAAGGACCAGACGGCAGAATGGCTGGTTGGCTGGTGGAGAGATGGAGACAACGGAGGGTGGAGTTATCTGCTGACGGTGACGAGGAGCACATCACAAGACTTAGATTGCCTCCACGTAGTTGGCGGGGTACAGCCCCAGCTGCCCGTTGTCCAAGCGCCCTTTGCACCACCCCTGCTCGTCTTCCTCACCAAGTTTGGTTAGTTCATCACCTGGAGAGGAAGGTGGAAGGGAAGAGCTCATTGCAGGTGCTGGAAATTCTCGCACCCACTTTTTCTCCCTGGGATGGAGATGCAGGGGGTTTTCAGGACTCTTCCTGGGCACACCAGTTTGTAGGACAGAAAGGTGAGGGGTGACCCTTGAGCCCTCATATGCCCTGTCCCACCATTGCTCCTGCCCCTTCTGCATTTGGGTTCAACTTCTGCCTTCCCTTTTCTGACAGTTCAACTTTTTGAAAGGCTGGGCCAACTCAGAAATTATTTGAGGGATTTCACACCCACAGCTCCAGCAGACGAGCCTCATCCTATCTGGCACTGGCAAGGGACCATACCTGCTTTGAAGCTGAGCTCATCCTGCTCCTGCCCATCGTAGTCGTACAGAGCCCGCACCCTCACGCCCTTTCCCGCCGACTCCTCGTCAAAGGGGTTGGCGCCGCCATTGGCCTCGCTGGTGTTGAAGGAGTTGCTGCCCTCGTCATCGGACCACTCGGCGCTGTAGGTCTGCCCACGGTCATGGCTGCTCACGCTGGAAGGGGAGGAGAGGGAGGGGTGGCTGTCACCCTGGACATCCCCATCCCCAAATGCTTGCACAGACAAAGGCCGTGCCTGTCATGGCACCTCTCCTTCATGCCGGCCCTCACCTCCCGCGCTCGCCTGCCTGAGCCCCCGTGTCACCCGCACTGCTGGCATTGGTCAGGGCCACCCCCTCGCCCTTCTTCTGCTTCTCCTTCCGTGTTATCGTGTGCGTCAGGTCTGGGTTCCACTCCTGCAAGCACAGAGTGACCAACCCCTGAGTGCCCGGCTGCCTTGCAGGGCTGCCAGCACCCAGCCAGGGCCCCCAGCCTCACCTCAAACTGGGGCCAGTTCATGGGCATCCCAGGGCCACTGGTGCTGCGGAACCACCGGAGGTCCTCCTGTGCGTCCGACATGCGGATGGTCTGCTCCAGCTCCCGGTACACGTTGGCGTAGCTGTGGGGAGAGATTGAGGGGCTGTGGGTCAGGGTGGACCCCCGAGGACAGTATGGCACAGGGACAGGGACATACCCCGGCCGTCACCTGGGGCCCAGGCTGTGTGTCCTCTGTGCTCCTGCACAGCCTCCTGCCACTCTGGTATCTCTTGGTGACCATCGTGGTGGCTGGGATTCACTGCCCCTACCTGCTGCTCTCGGCCAGGTTCAGGTGCCTCTTGATGTCCAGGAGCATTTCCTTGAGGAAGTTGAGCCTCTTTTCCTCAAACTGCTGGCACTGCTCAAAGACCTGCTCCATGCTCTCGATGTACTGCGGGGTGCACTTGTTCAGCTCATCCAGCACCTTCTCGTACTTCTCCTGAGTCTGCAAAAATGCAAGAGGGACCCTGGATGTACCTCAAGCGTCTCAAAGGCCATTTCTGGGTGCTGTCTGGTTTGGGGGTCTCCAAAGCTGGGGAGCCCAAATTGAGCCAGGAGCCTCAGTGGGTGGAATCAGGCCCCATAAGTGGGGTAAATCCCTGCCTAGCTTACACTCCCCTGAGCACTTCCTGCATGTCTTTATCCTCCAGGAGCACAGGGATGGGAAAATGGGAACTGATGGTGGAGAACGGGACATGTTGACCATCTCCACTGGTTTTCCTTGCCCAGTTCCCCATGCATCTGGCACAGGGCAGTGTCTTGCACCTTTTGCACATCTTGCTTGCACTTTTCCACTTTGTCCTGGAGCTTCTTCTGCTGCTCAGGAGTGTTGGACTGATCCGCCTTGCTGTTGGCTTCACGGGTCATGGCCAGCTTCTCCTCCTTGCATGCCAGGTGATAGGCTTTCTTGGCTGTCTCCAGCTGTGGGGACAGGGAAGGGACATCAGAGTAGTGGTCACAGCCCCCTGCCAACCCCTCTGCCTGTGGGGAGGTGCCACACATTTCTCCCAGCCTGGACTGGGCACACAGAGCTGGACCTGGGGACACAAGGATGCCCCAGGACACTGTGCTGCTCTCACCTCCTTGAGCTTCTTGGCCCAGGGCTTCTGGGCTTTCCGGAAGCCATCCTCAGCCTCCTTGGCCTCCTTGAAGCCCCCCATGATCTGCTTGTGGTAGGCGTCCTTCTGCCAGTTCTTGACCTTCTCAAAGTCGTCGTTCAGGAGGCTATTCTTCACCTCCTGGTGCAGCTCGCTCACCTTGTCCGCCTCCGTCATGATCGCGGCCCATGCCTTCTCCAGGCTGCCATACTGGGGACCTGGGGGCCGAGGGGACAGCTGGGGGTCACTCCACTGCCCTTATCCCCTCCATTTCTGCCAGATGAAGCTGTGATGATACACGGGGACCCAGGTGTCCCAGGGAAACCCTGCCCCTGGGGAAGCCATGGTACCTTTCTCGATGAGCTGCCTCCACCGCTTGGACCAGTCGGTGAGCTGCTGGGCATAGGACTTCTCGATCTTGGCCCGCTCATGCACGCAGTTCATGAGGTCATTGCAGAGCCGGTGTCCATCATCGATCCGCTTCACCGTGCGCTTGTAGTTCCCCACCTGAGATGGGTGTGGGGACAGGCAGCTGTGGGCTCTGACCATCCTGCCTGGCTCAGCCCCAGCTGGCCTGGGGTGGCTACAGGGGAAGCACCAGGCAATTTGAGGGTGCAGGGATGGAGCTTTGGCTTGGGGCTGCTCAAGCCAAACTCCCTCCAACCCCTCTGTCACTCAGGGACGGCCAAGATTGAGACCTTTGGCAGAGCCAGCTCAGAAATGGAGCCACCACAGTAGGGATGCTCTCAGGCAGAGAGGGGAGGGCAGCCCCCAGTGCAGGGGACAGCCCGGGGTGCAGTGACTGTGGCAGTGGGGTCTGTGGGAGGACAGGATGGCCAGGACTCACCTCCCAGAAGCTGTCGGTTGTTTCCTCGGCGGCTGATGCTGACTCGTCATAGGAACCCGACATGGCTCCCGGCGCTGCCTCGGGCGTCAGAGCAGGCGCTGGGGGTCTCTTGGGCAAACACCAGCCTCATGCACTGAGGGGACAAGAGAGGGGAGTCATGGGGGGCGCAGAGGACCCCCATTCCTCCTGCCAACAGCTCTGTGGGACAAACATCTGGGTACAGGGGACAGGCATGGGGACGGCTCCCGCTCCAGCTCTGGACCTGCAGACTCCTCCAGTGCCCACAACCCTCTTGGTGCCATCCAAACACCCCTGGAGCCAGTGGTGCTGGGAGGGAATGACAGGGAACAGCACAGTGGGCGCTCACTGGACAGGGCCTGGCTCAGCACTGGGAGCCTCTGGGCAAGGGGCCATGGCAGGGTCAGAGGATGCGCCGCCCAAGGAATTCTCACCCTGATATTCCACCCTAATCCGTCATGATCTTCAGAAAAACGGCATCCCCAGAGCACCACGTGGCCCTGCTGTGTGGCTTAACCCTTTGCCGCTTTGCCAAGAGCTGGGAGGGGGCTGGTGGCATTGCACGGGGATGGAGCAGGGACCATGGTGGCCGTTTCCTAGGTGTTCTCATCATCCCCATCCTGACCTGGATTTGGACAGTGTTTCCACAGGAAAGCACTGGGCCTATCCTGCCTGGCATCTGCCACTGGGATGGGGACAAGGTGGCCACGAGCAGTTCAAATTTCCTCCTGCCTTGTCCCCAAAAGGGGTGTGGGAGAGGGATGTGGCCGTGAACCGCACACACTGTCCCTTCCTTGGGGAGGTGGAATGGGCAGAGGGGAGGCCTGGCTGCCTGTGCTCTGCCCTGTGGTGGGGTGGGAGGGCAG